CTTGGCTAGGCGGTGCATAGACTCCAAAGTCAGGTGTAGGATCACCCGCTAAGGCTTTAGCTATAGTTTGCATTAGATTCATCTCTGTGTTCTATTGCAGTAGAAAAAAAAATTAGGATCAAACATTCTTTAATTCAGTACATAAAATATTTTAACAAGTTTTTTTTTAATGAAGTTGGTAGTACTAGCAACTAGCAATGTTCAATTTTTCAATGTCAAGATGCTATAAATTGAGATTATTCTGAAAAAAAAATTAAACTTTTTTTTTGTCAAATAGAAAGTATCTCAATTCTTCCTTCTATGAGGGTAAAGAAATAATCCTGGATTAACAGTAGGAAATGTCAGAAAGGGAAAGAAGGAAAGAATGGAGCTTATTTGCTTCCAGCAGTTTATAGTGGTACATTTGGCTTCAGTCTAAATCATTTCTCACATCATTTCTGTGAGAAAAGCATGCATATCTACCCATATTATCCATCCCTATCCAGAAGGCATCCATATGCTTTTTCTGAAACATCCATATTATATGAAGAATATTGACAATTATTTTGAAGAATGTAAGACTATTTTATTTTAAATGGATGAAAGTGAATTTTCAATTATTCTAAAAAGCAAAGCACATGCGCATTAGAAAATCCTGTTATGGGATTCCCCAGATAGCATCAACATAGAACTCTATTTCAGTTATTTCTACAAGGCATATGTCTAACTTTTTTTTTTTTTTTTTCCCCCCATGATGCAAGTTGTGTGTGATAGAGCACAACATGGGACAGAGAGGAAATCTAGCATTTTAGGATAAAGAGAATAAAGTGCTTCAGTCACATTGAAAGAGAACATATCATGTGCTTAACATGTGAGAGTAAGTGTTCATTTTCCCAAGAGAATTCTGAGCTGTGGAATCCCACCTGGACAGAGACACTTGGGCTATCTATGCCACAAATTTAGAGGTACCAAAGAAAATGTAGATACAGGCAGTATTTTTCACTGGGCAGTGCTGTGCAGTTCCTTGCCACCCTGGCTGCTGCTCAACTTGAATTGTGACCTATGCACTTTGAATGATCACAGCTCGGTGCCATTACTTACCTCAATCACTGCAAGAATTCGAGACTCAGCTAGCCCTCGCAGTAAACCAACGAGCAAAGAAATCCCATTTATTCCAAGGCTCCTGTTTGGTCCAACAGCTATTATTGTTAAATTGGCTTGATAACTATATGCTACTGGAAGAATGAATCCAAATACAGCAGAAAAGAAATCATTTCCTTCAGCACCCTTTAACAAAAATGAAAAATAGTTTAGCACAAATGCTAAATAGAGAAATAAGGTGAACCTCAATAAACTTGCAGTTAACCTGGAAAATAGGATACTGATCTGTTTTCACAACAATCTATTACAAAAGCAGCTTTACTCAATGCTGAATACTCATCTCCTGCTTATGCTCCTCACACTGTGAGTCTGCCTTCTTGAAGACGAGAAGTAGCAGCTACTGAGGTTTTCCTCAAACCTCAGCATTCTAACACACACTAAAGACTTGTGAAGAGAAGCACAAGAGATAGGGCAAAAATGAAATGTTTTCAAGTGTTCAAATTCCAGTGAGGGATATAATTCTTGGTGTCATCTTACAAATCTGTAAATATGTTCTATTAATTCTGTTTAGAAAACAGTTTTTGCTTTATGAAAGCGAACCTCACCTCCTTCCAGTTCAGTGAGATATAGTATTTGGAGTTGGTCCTTTCAGATTGTTGTTTCTCACAAACATGTATCATGAGTATTCTTCTGTAAATAAAAAGCACATTCCAGTATTTAACCAATAAGATTTTTGAAAAACCTCCTTTTGTCATTCTTTAAACACTAACTCCTATCTCAGTAATAGATAAGTTATTTACATAACCACATGCCATGACATTGAGGCCAATTCACATTGAAATCTTTTTTTTTTCATATTTCAAAAAAAAGGATTGAAGATTACAGAAAAATCAGCTTTAAGGGAGCTGACAAAGAAGGGTACAGATATTTTAAGATGACTTTGAATAAAGAACTCAACATCAGCAGTATGTACAATTCTATCCAGTATAGATCAGCCATCTCTGAAACACATATGGCCTTTGGGACACGGTGAGAGGCTACAGCTACTTGCACAAAAATATTTTATTTTTGTTCCTTTGCGAGTGGCCAAGTGAATTAGGGATGGATAGGGAACAATGTGTCAAGTCCCAGCCTAGTCCGTCCTGTCAGACTTCTGTCTCTGCTTCTTTCCTGTGTATATCTAATCACTCATAAAATAAAAAAGTGACACTTATAAATAGAGCTTTGATTTTAGAAATACATATGGGGATGTTTTATATTGTGTCTCAGATTAAAATTAATAAAACATCAGTAAACATGAACGATTCCTCAGTGCATTTCATCATGCATCTACTTAGGAACATAAAAAATGTATTTGGGATCTGATGTCCTGACCGAAAGAGAAACCTTACCCGTCCTCTGTGTTTGGTGTGATTTCCATGTCTCCCACAAATATGCAGAGCACTCTGCAGAAGACAAAATAAAAGCATGTATACATACACCTATGAGTATTTTTTTTAATTAGTGCTATTTTTAAAGGAGTTTTCATGCAAATTAGTTACATAAAAAGAGGAAATTATTTCTGCACTTGGTCCATTGGAAAATATAAAGAAAATACATTCAGGACAGCTCCAGCAAATGCCTTCCTGTCAAACACTGCGGGAGAGAAGGCCAAAGGGGAAACACAAAATCCACCATAGAAAGCCTGGGCTAGCATCCTTAGAAGTGCTTCCCTTTGGTAAGGCAAAGACTTTTGGCATTATAGACAATATTGACTTGATTAAATATGAAAATAGTATGCCTTTCAAGGTGCTATTTGTTTAAAAATGAAGCTTTTCAAAGACAGCTTGCAGTATCTTAGACACCTTTATCACGTTTTTATATTTTATGAAGGGGACGCAAATGCAAAAGAGAAATTCACCTTTGAAATCCAAAACGAACAGAATGTCTTAATGCAACAGCAGCAGAAAGGGAAACTCTGGGTGATTCTGCAATTCCATTGCATGCCTACAAAATACATTTTTTATTCAGGAATAATTAATGCCGCACAATACCATGCCATTTTCATTTATAACTAATGTTTCTATATGTTTATATATAGGTATGATTCAAACGAAACTAAAGGTGCATGAAAGGTGCGACACAGTAAGATTTAAAAAAAATGTTAGCAAGTCATTTTCTACAAAAAGGCTGTATTTGATTGTTATGCCAAAAAATTCTTCTATTTGGCAACTTACTTCAAGAGTGTTGTGCTATGTAGAAAGGCAGCTGTGAAAAAAGCTTCTCTGGGAGAAGTTCATCTTTACTGGGTCTCTCAATAATCTGTAGATCAGATATACCTTAGTGTACCAGTAGTCATGTTGCACCAGAAGAATGCACACTATTACAAGAAGATTCTCTCTGATCTGTAATTCTGACTCTTCCTTTAACTATGGCAAGTGATTCTTTTCTGATAAACACAAATGTCAGGAATATTCATTCTACCTCCAAGTGTTTGTTTCTGCTCTGTAATACTTTGAACTAGGTGTTTGCTTCTCTTTCTGTCAACATAAAAAGCTCAGCTTAGCATCTGCAGCTCATTACAAGTTCTATTTTTTTTTCCACCAGTTATCATCTTTTTAAAATATTTACTGAATTTCCTAGAGCTATATTCAGTATTAAATCTAGTAAAAAAACAAGAAAAAAAAAAAAGAGAGAGAAAGGAAAGTTGTCCCTGAAGTCTTCAGAGGTGGCTACCAGCAGTTGGTAGGAAGCCAGATTACAAGCAAGAGGCCATTCTGACAGTAACTCTTCCTCACAAGCTTGATACTTTTAGAGAGGGCTTTTCATTCAAATAGCAATACTGATTTATAAGGATCTCATTATATACTTGTTTTTGCTTGCCTTTTTTCTTTTTGTTTCCTTGCCATTTGTCTCCTTAGTTCTCCAGGTTATATATAAGTACAAACTCACACCCTCAACGTTTATCTTCTCTGCACTCCTCACCCTGTAAGAGTCAAAAGGCTGGATTTAAATTACTGCCTTTATGGTATACAGTGGTGTTTTAAGCAATATCGAATTGCACCTTCAGTAAATCAATAAAGAGGGAGAGAAAAAAATCAACTCCAAGTATACTCTACAGATCATAGGAGGTGGGGACAGCTTCACGTAGCATGGCAAGCATTGGTCATCTTTAAGGCTAAGTTAACTGTCTCCTAAAGACAAAATTTGAGCACTGGGACAGAACGCAGCATTTCCTGCTCAAATTTCTTGTTGCTGCTTTATCTTTGGTTGGCAAAAAAGCTTCCTGCTCCCCTCAACTCCAAGAGCAAATAGCTGGCTCAGCCCTGTTATCTATGGGTGATGAAAGGTTCTTGCTGCCTTATCTGCCATGGCTGCAGAAAAGCAAGGCACTACCTTGCCCCAAAATAATTAGAAAATACCTTGGTGTTAACAACTATTCCTGAATGTTTTCTGACCTTACACACTCACTCTTGTAACTAAAAAAAATCTAGCTAAGAGTAGCAGGATTGTGAAAGACATAACTAATATATTGATGAGAAAAGAGCAGAAGCAGAAATAAGAAGAAAGCAACACCTCAAATGATCAAAGCAGATTATTATTACCTGCTTTGTAAGTATTTTATCTAGGACAGCCAACATACTCCCAAGAGAAAGCAAAATTTCATCCTCTTTCACAAGGTCTCCATAATAGGCACTGTAAAATAAATGAAGAAAAAATAGGTTAAGGACAAAACTCCAGTGCTTTTGAAGAGGACACTGATATAGCACTTTGCAGCGATACTGATAGGTTATATTTTGTGTGCTGCACATTCATTCTTGAAGACAGCTCTAGGTGGAAGATGA